CCCCCAGGCTCTGATCACACACTATTATTTTATTTGCTGAAAATCTGCAGCTGCTCATTCCTTCCTCCTTTTCTTTCTCCCCAGGGTCACCTCCTGGCTCCATAGCACCAGTTCAACTCCCTGTGTGGCCATTTGAAAAAACAGATTTGTGAAATTATCCAGCTTAAACATCCAAAATGACGTAAAACAAACAACTAAAAAAGACATTGGTATGTGCATGTGAGTGTGTGAGTGTACATGTATGTTTCTAAGCAGCTGATTCAAGGACAATAAAGTTGTGGAAAAACTCCATGAAGGGTGGGAACATGAAGGCAAAGGCTATGACCTTTAAAATGGGATCTTATCTCAAAAGAATGATAACTTGTGACCACAAACACTCACACTTCTGTTCAGTGTGTGACATATTAACTACTATTCAGACAGACACAGCCACGGTAAGAAACAGACAGGCTCTGAATTCCCTCATATCCCTACAGCTTCAAGGTCTACATGTGCTAATAAGTTGGATTTATTTTTGTACCTATAAGCTGAATACAAGAGAAAGCCTCTTTGCCTGAGGTTAAGATTGTCCCAACTTGCAATGGTAGCTTAGACTCCTTAAAATCCCCTACCCGCAGAGAATTGCCACAGGAAAAATTTATTTTGCTGTTGTCAAGCCTTAGGTAAGCATGTTTGGCAACAGTATCCCTGTGTCCAGCTGGGAAAAGACATCCCGAGGTCTGACTCCCTGCCTTCATATTGGCCAGCAATTCCTCTGCTGTCTTCTCAGCTGTGGCCAGATCATGTTGTCTTTGCTCCCCAAAGGCAGAGCACTGGGATGACAGCTGAGGTAAATTTCAAAGATTAAAAGGACTTTGGACTGACATGTAATAAGAAAGGTAAGAAAACCGCAAAAAAAAGGAAAGCACATGAAAACTTCTTGCATCATGTGCAGCCCTTCTGTCCACAGATAACTGGGTGCAAACAGGCAAAAGACATCTGAGTAAAAGTCAGTCTGCCTTATGCCTTGCTTTTCGATTTACTAAATGTTCCCTGGAGATTAATTGCTTTGAGCGCCAAAGTTCACACACAAATACAAATCAACAAAGATTAAAAACATAAGAAAAAAAGAACACGAAGAAAAAGAAGGGAAGAAGTAAAATCTAAAATACTACTAAAGCTGCTATTTGGTTCAATGAAATTTGAGCAAATCCATCTAACTCAGCTGGGAATTTCTATGCCCCTGTTTACATTCAGCTCTAGATATCTATATCACTTTTGCTACGATCTATACCACAGGCATGCAATCCACCACAATTGGGGCATCATGCTTGGCTTCTTGGCCACCAAACCTCAAATCCTGAATCCAAGTACACTACACAGGTTAGTGAATAAATTATTTAGTTTTTAATTGTGGTATAGCTAGTGTGTAGCTACATGTGTTATAGCTAGATTTCTGACATAAGCTCCTGCTTTGTTGAAAAAGACATGAAGAGCACTATTTGACATATATGCTACTTTTAAAAAATCAGTGCAAATAAGTTCAAAGTATACTCAAGAGACACAAGATTCCTCAAGGAAGAGTAGGCATGTAACTTGATTCAAAAGGGGAAATTATTTGCAACAAAATCAAATTCAAGGGAGAGAAAATATCACAGAGATAACCATAAATAAACAAAAGACCAAAGTATAAAACATCTCTTCTGTCACTCTGCAAGATAATCTTTACTCAACATTTACTCTCAGCTCTTAGAAAGATCCTGCATTCATTGAAACTTTGTCTGGAAATCCCTTAACTTTAAAAGCTGATAATTCATCCTGTCATTAGGTCACCAGAGAAGTGTCTGTCCTAAACAGTAAAACACTTGTTGAATAGTGTGGGGGCTGAAGGAAACAGGAAAACATCACAGTTTGATTTGAATCTTCTACATGCTTAATAAAAAGGGGAACTTTTTTTGAAAGGTATTGAACTATTCGGATGGTATTATTTTAAAATGATACACTATCATGGGCAAATTGAATAGAATTGGCATTCAAGACTTCTCAAGCTGTTTGCTCAAAATAGCTATTTTTGTTTCAGGTGGGGCTGCACATATGCATTGTGCTTAACAGCTATGAACAAAACCACTAAAGGAAATGTTTTCTTCAAACTTTAGGGGTAAAAAAAAATCATATAATAATGTTCTAAAACAACAGTTGCTTTTGGAATAAATGGCATTTTTCTTGGCTTTTGTGTATTGCTTACTTAAACCAATCATGTTGAAAAATTGCTATGTTTAATGTTGATATGATAACTTTAAGTAAACACAAATGGGACAGGCCCCTGTTCTTTGTTTTGTCCAGCCTTAGATTTATATTAATTACTGATGTTAGACAAACTGATGCAGATCTTGATTTGGCTAGAAAACTTGATGGCAGACTACAGTGTACTAGTAATTTTTTAGACAACTGCATGAGAGAGCTGCCTGTCCATCTGTCACATCTTGTTTTAACTGTGCAACGTGCTTTATTAATAAAGAGACTCACACAAACCAGTATTATTTTCTGAAATATGTATATACTTGTTCTCATTTCATGACCAAGCCCATGGCAATACTCGAGCTCTTTACCCAGAATGGTAACATCAGACCCACATTTTAGCCATTTCCCATAAATAATGCAGCTTGCCAGCTGTGGGATATGGGGGTACCATGTTATCTATAACAGCTTACTCAGAAACATTTTTCAATTGCACAAATGCAATAAGGAATGCTTTTTTGCAACAGTGACCTATTTATATCAGTTATGCCTCATTATTTTTTTGTATTTCAACTTCAAAATGTAAGTCAGAGAAGATACATTCTCCTCTGTAAAGGAAACAAGTACATCCTATAGATCAGATGAATATAAGAATAACATATTCTACTCTTTATTTCTCAAATTGGTCAAATGATTTTTTTTTTTTCCTTTGGAAATTAAATGATCAAACTTCTTGAAAGCAATTTCATGTCCAGATGGGATTATTGTCCAGAACCTTATTCTGTTCTTCTGTGCTTATGATACCAAAAAGGTCTCTAAAATTCTGGAATTTGTGGAAATGTTCTGAAATACAGAGTAATCCCTTTCTCCATCTCTTGTGGTTTTACCACTGCATCAGTGGCTTTATCACTCACAGGGAAAGGCCACCTCTTCATGGCTAGAACTTTTATAAAGATTCTTTCATAAAAATTATTCTTGCTAAATGGCTGTTTGTTCACAAGTGTCACAATTTTCCTAGTAACCAAAACAGGATGTAGTTCATAACACATTTTGCATAAATTTGACTTCAACTGATTTACTTCCTCCTGTCCTTATTTAAGTATTTCTCCTTTATTTTAAACAGAAAGATTATGTTTTTCTATTTTTTCTAAAAGTCTACATTGCTTGCTAAAAGATATTTTAGCTTTGACTGCATAGATTGATTAATGCTACTTAAAGATTAAATTCAGGTTTTTAACAAAACTAATTAAGGCACCACCGTTCGCATGATGAGTATGATATCAATGAATGAAATAAAATAATATGCCATTGTCACTGAGAACAGAAATAAATAAATAAATAAATGTGTGTTTTGATTTGGTATTCTCTCTCCTTAAAAAACGGTGTTGCCATTTACTTAGCCTTTTCAATCACATCGTAACAGATAAGAAACTTCTTTGTATTAAAGTGAAAGAACAGCAATTCAATCTGTGTGTGAAAAAACTAAAGGGACAAATCCTTTTCTTTTGTACAAGAACTGCAGTGGAGTTTTGTTTGTCTACATCAATAAAGAACTGGCTTGAAATGTTGCATAGACATGAAAGAAAACTATTGATTTTATTATGTGGATGCTTTTCCCTGATGTAACACAGTTACATTGCTTGAGCCTGAAACACTGATAACCAATTAATTTTGATTTCTGTCACTACTATTGCATCTAAGCAGTATATTTATTATAATATGATTTTAAAGATAAATCACTCTGTTCATGTTCATGTCTCACTTAAATTCACACTGCTGTCACTAAGAATAAATGTCTGTATCTTCCTGGTCCAGGCTTTTACCTAAGCAATCCTTAGGTCCAGGCTCTTAAAAGTAAGGGAGTACTTGCAGGTGCGGGTTATGAACAAGCAGCATTTTCTTTCATGTTTAGACACTCTATACTTATCAAAAGGTAGAGGAACATTGCTGAGTTGAAAAAACCACAAGCATAGGTATTCACAGTCTTTTGTAGAATTAAATACCTATGGAAAATGTTCCTTTCTCATCTTGTCATGTACAGTGGAGTTGAGCTGGCCAAATGTCAGCATCTGCAATGTAGATGTCTGCACCTGAGGTAGCTATCTATATTTGAAGGAGAAAAATGGTAATTTATCTAATCCTAAAGGAGATGTCTCAAATAGGTCAGATGAATGATGGTCTAAAAAAGTTTGTTTCTCTCTACACTAATAAAAAGAGCAAAGGGAGATCATATTAGATTTAGATGTTAAAATCGGGTCAAAAGAATCTTTCCCACACTCTGGGAAAGTGTTAAAAGATTTCTGCAAACGAATGTATGGAACAGCTAACATGTTTCCAGCTAAAAACTTACTTTAAGTCTGCTTTTCTGGAAAATTAATGAATGCACACATTTTATTTTTCCACAGGAAAATAATTGAAAAAAATGTATGTCCCAAAATAAAATGCCAGTGCACATGACAGCTAATGAAAAAATGCTACTGTAAGGACAATGAAGGACAGGAAAGAGACGTGGAGTGGTATCTGAGATATATCTTTTAGATATATGTCCTGTGTTAAAACAAAAAAAAAGTAATAGCAATAGTAGTTGAAGCAGTAGCTGAGTGACAAACATGCTAAGAACAAAGAGCATCGCCTGCTAGGTGAGACAGGTCCATTTCTTCGAAGCTTACACTATGAACACAAGAACACTTTCTACATTTAATTAAGAAAGTTCTATTCTGGAGACCCCAATTTTACTAGTCAAGTGACAAGACTAGTGACACAACATGTTACTTTTGTCTTACCTCTATAAAGAAGAGACTAGCCGCTGATGTTGGATGATGATACATGTAGACAGTCACGAGGATGGCTGCAGCCACAATGAGGACCAGGACTAGAATACCAACAATTAAGCCGGCATGAAGCGTTCCACCTTTCTTCTCTGCTGCACTGTCATCTGTGGAAGCTGCACAAATGGCATACTTATTAGCACAGTAACTTATATCTTATCCCTTCCATTTCACAGCTGGCAAGTGAGCATTTGCTTTTTCTGTGTTACATGCTCCTCATGTTCTGCAGCCAAAGTTGGAAGAAGATGTTAACAGTCTTTTCCAGAACGGAATACTCTCACAATCTTTATGGACAGATATTTCCAAATGTTTTACTAATTCTAAATCAAAACACAGAATTAATATCCTTTCTTTTGAATGCAATCTGGACATTCTTAAGTTCCTAATTACCTTCATAATGAATTTTGCTTTGATTTTCTCATAAAACTATTGCAGTTGCCCTACAGACAAAAAGTACTAATTGAATACATTTTGAATGTTGTAATTTTTTTTTTAAAGCTTCAAGTTGAGACATGTCACAAACCCTTGTGAGGTCTAGCTAATAAACATGTTCTGAAAGCCTGATTTATTAGCTTGGAGAGGGGTTTTGAATCATCCTGTGCAACTGAATCAGACAGCTAAAAGTGTAACAGATGGATGTTAATGACCCTGCAATACTCTAATCTTGGTCTAAATGGAACACTCATCATACCAAAGCATTACAGAAGACCATCTATTTACTAAACTTGATACCAAGAGGCCGCTCATGCTCTACTCCCATCAAGAGAAAAGAGGGCTGTCTGTCACACAAGCAACTTCTCAGCAGTGCTTCCAAATAAGGGACTGAAAGTCTTTTAGCAACACTGTAACCTTTATGGAAAAAGTCTCTCAATAAATTAGCCAACATCTGTAGAACTGCTTGTGCTCATGGGCGATTTCTACTTTGGACAACTTGGGGTATCACAGTAAGTACGAACATGGTGATACTCAATGATTCTTCAGCATCGTTGTGCATAAAAGGAGAAGTGCTGTTCTACTCACCACTGCAGGCAAAAGAGTGATTCAGAAGCCCTGGATTTACAAAACACCAGCAGAGCACTGGTCATTTGGCTTCACAAACTTACGTCATTCTAATATTCCCACCGCTTTCTGCCTTTCTGGCAATCCTTCAAATCACCTCCATGCCTTACTCCATACAAAACCTCTCTGATCTCGCTTATGATAAATTTTCTTTCAATTCCGCTTTTCAAATTCTCTCAAAATGCTTGTTTGCCAAGCTGATTATAACAAAAATTGTTGATTTCTATAGACATCATTTTTGTTGTGCCACCTCCCTGAACTATTTGTTTGGTTGTCTTAGAGTGTCATGGTCTTTGAGGACAGGACCACCCCTTTTATTTATTCTTGGGAAACAGCTAGTGAGCTATGGGTACCACTCCAAATAAGTCACTGTTATTGTTATTAATATTAACAACAACAATAACAATAACTGTATGGTCTTTTACCATTCATGAAATTGTAGAAGTAGAGCACTCCAAGCTAATGTTAAAGAAAGAAAACTGGAAAATAATAGAAAGGTCTATTGATCTAGGTCCTTATACCGTGTTAAATGCCTTGTATGAGGGGCAATAAAAGAAAACAGGAACGGTTAACTTCAGTGTAACAGCTTATCCATGTGTGGCAGGACATTTTCTCCCCAGACCAAGGAAGGCTGCATGGCCCAGTGGATTGAATGGCACCATTGTGACAACAGGGAGAAAACGAAAATGAAGATCTATTATCTTAGCCAAGAGCTTTTTTAAACTACAATATGGAAGTGAATCTATGGGAGAGTGAAGGAATTAAACAAAATTTCCCCTGCTTTTGTCCATATTTCCTCAATCTTGTGTCAGGACAGCTGAAACTGCAGTGCTGTTCTGCTCTTTCCCGTGAAGTCAGTAAGGCAGCTTGCAGAGTAAGGAGCTGAGTAACAGAAAGGATAAAGAAAAAGAACCTAATAATTTGAGAGGCTAAACTAGGACGTGGGAGGCATTAATGAATATAATGAAAAATTGCAAGCAGGCATCCCCACTCAGGTACTGCTTAATCCTGAAGGTATCTTTCATTTTATGGAAAAGTTCATGAGTACCTGTTCACACGGGAACTTCAGCTTTAATCCTGCTGACTGTGGACATCAAGTTTGAACTTAGGCATGAATAGGATCCAAGAACCAGGCCTCTCCCTGCCCAAATCCTACAAAGGGATTTACTTAGCTTTCTTAAAGCTTAGTTCACACAGATGTATAGGAGTTTTTTTAAAATAAAAACATGTCAGAGCTATTTGGTTTTTTTTGTGTGTGTGTTTTTTTTGTTTTCTTTTGTTGTTTTTTTCTTTTTTTTTTTTTAAACACAGTACATACGGTGAACATTTCCAGGCCATCATTTACATTGCAGTGGAAGAAAGGAAATATTGCCCAGGATATGGAAGATCTATTTTCAAATGTATTCCCATCCAAAGGGGACTTAAAACTGGTTGTAGCATTATGTAGCAAAGGATGTAAGATTCATGGAGAAGACAGGAAAGAAAGAAAGGTTACCCTAAAAAAGGTTCCTCTAAATTTCAGACAGCAGAGTCTTTTACTTGACATAGCCATTAACAATTTATTAAATAGCTATTCACTTTCAGCTGAGAACAGATGAATGTACACAAGCTCCAGTCTTTATTTCTGTGCATGCACTGTAACAATATTTAGTACTTGCACGTACATTTCAAATCGCCAAGGAACTGCAAATTAAGTAATTGAAAGGCCATAAGGAAAGGCCTGCTTTATTGTACATGCTCTAGGTTGGGCTATTAATTCCCAGTGACGAGCAGTTAGCTGTGTGAGTCACCCTACTGAGAAATAACCGCTCCCCCGAAGAAGCAGGGGATTCATAGTTTGTCTGTCTCATAATTGTCTTTTTGACAGCTGCATAGTCTTCAACTCTTCCCTTCAATGCCACATCAGTGCATCATAAACTACTTTATCACTTGTAACCATTTTCAGGCCAATTTGCACTAAATGAGTAATTTGTATTGTTACCATGTTATGGTTGAAGGCAAGAACATCATATTCTGCATATTAAAAAATGCTGGACTTCAGCAAAGGTCCCAACCACTCTGTAAAGGCCTTCAAATTAATTCCCTTTGATTTGGTATTTGCTCAGTGTTTAGCATCCAGATTTGCAAATGAGAAACTCAGTACTGAGTTATCATCTTTAGGCTGATGATCTTCCTAATAACACAGGTGCCCAGATTTCTACTAGTCTAGGGTGGAGCACTACACAGACATTAGTGCAATGATCAGAATGCCAAACACAAAAAATAACGAAATACAAGAAATGCTTTTCTTAAAGGACAACAAGTGTGAGTAACTTGTAATTTCAATAATCAAAACTCAGTTCATTGACCTCAGGGCTCAAATACTCATGAGAAACTGATTTCATTCTCTTTGCACAGAGACAATAAACAGTGTTGTCAACTTTGAAAATACTCTTTGCTGCAAAATCAACTGACAGTTCTTTTAAAAAGCCACCAAGAGAAACAGATGAAAAAATGGACACTGATAGCTTTTCAGGTGCAGAAATCTTATTAAGATTATCACAGCACATCTGCTGTTCCCGGCAAGGCTAAACCCACGGGAGGATATTTGTCGGATGACCAATCCTTTCCCAAAAGGAAATTTCTCAGTGGAACTTTCCCCAAACTTTCCTTTTCTTGTGCTCAAAAAAGCAATTGTTACATACAAGATGCTCTATCTATAAGTCCTCCCCAAGTTCTTACATGTATAAACCTTTTAAGCAGAAGGAGCATGTTAACATCTGCAAGGTTAGTCTGCTTCTCAGTAGGTGCTCAACGACAGCACAGAAACAGCAAGCAAATTCCCAAATACAAAGGCACACAATACAAACATACACACATACAAAAATATAAAAGAACTGTTCTCTGCCCTGAATTTTGTTTAAAAAATAGAAGTGAAAACATAATGAAAGTGTTCTCATTGTTTGCATGATAAACACATAAAGACTCTATGATCTTTGATTTTGTATTACTATACTACGTCTCTAATTAAAGTCAGGTTAGATTTTTTCTGTGCAAAAAAAAAAAACACCTCAAGGATTTATATATCATGAATGAAAATCTTGTCCTCTCTGGCCCATCGAGACTGTATGCTGACTCTAGCAGGAACAAAGGTGTGTACAAACTGGGACCATTACTTAGAGTGTTTGTAAACTCATTATGGATACTTTCTCAATATTGTTTATCTCACTATTGCATATTAACCATTGAGGTATGCAAAATAATTAAATACAATGTTTAAGGTTTACACAAAGTTTCTATTGTGATAGCTTTATATACGAGGAAACAAAATTATGATACATGTACACCTCTCATGATATGAGAGGGAAAGGAGTTTACTTACCAGAGAGCAGAGATACAAAAACAATTATGGTAAAATGGAGGAAAAATATGTGAAATTTTATTACCTCCTGCCTAGAAGCTTTCCTTTCTATAAAGTGACATGGAACCAAGAGCATATGACAGAAAAAAGTAGAATTTCATTGTCTGGACTTGGAAAATAAAGCTTTGCATTCTACCTCCAAAAGCCATGTAATTCCTTTTTACTCTTGCATTTTGATAAGATAGCAAAAAGCTCCAATTCAAACTCACTTCTAATATGCATATGCACCTTTAACAGATAAAATGCAATAACTTATTTGACCCTTTTGACTGACACAGCTATACTAGCAAAGCTAGTGATATAGATGACCTAAATAGCAGCAATCAGCCTAAAGATGATAACTCAGTACTGAGCTTTGTTATTGTCTCCCCTCTTCCCCAGATGAATGAATTTTCATGGCAAATCCCTGATTTTGTCACAAAGAGATAGAGAATGAACCCTGCGATTTCTTCTCATATAGTAATGCTTTATGATAAAATGAGTGTTTGCTGTTAGGTCACGTGGCAGCAATTGGATGAATTCTTAATGTTCATAAAAGCCCATGATTTCCTTAGCCAGCTGGTCAGGTGAATATGAAACTGTACTCAGCACTGGTGAGGCTGCACCTTGATTATTGTGTTCAGTTTTTGGCTCCTCAGTACAAGAAAGATACTGAGG